GGAGGGCCCTGGCCAGGGGCAGCGGATGTGAATATGGATCTCGTCGCCCGACCTTGGCGCCGCCCTGGTCGCCCTGCGCGTCCAGCTTCGCGCCGCCACCGTCGATCAGGTAGATACACGGCAAGTGGTTCTCCTGCGCAACCTGCTGCGCGCGCAGCCACTTCTTGTAGCCCATCGCCAGGGCCCCCTAGAACCTGGACGTTGCCAACCAGGACTCTGAGAATGCCGCCTGGAGAGAACGAAGAATGGAGGACGCTTCGACACACGGCTGCAGTGCTCTCGGGCGCGCCGACGTCCTGGGTGATCAAAGTCCCCGCTTAGGGGGCCCTGAGACCGGGAAGTTCACTCCTCCCTGGATTGTTAGGAGGCCACATGAGAATCCTACCCCACAGCCCCAAAATTTCCAAAGGGGGGAGAAGGGGTTCACTTGTTCCCAAGCGAAGTGTACTCCACCTCGTCGCTCAGAATCGTGGAGTGGTGGGGTAGGGTCCGCATGTGGCCTCCTAATTGTAGCGTCGGTCCCCAGGAACATGCACTCGCGGCCGCCGACGACTCCGATGCCGCAGACGGTGCCACCGCTGTGCACACCGCCGCCGTACATCTCCCACCCGGCCAGCGCAGACAGCTCCAGAATCTCGGTGCCCTTATCGATGATGGCCGGGCGGGTGGTAAGGGGGGGTGGCCCCAATGGGGGGTGAAGGAAGGGGCCCTACAGGGGCCCTTTCCTCCACCCCCCATGAGGGCCACCACCATCTATCACCCGCCCGAGATGGCCCGGATGCGCTCTCGGACGTGCTTCTTGCCGCGCTGCCGGTGCCGCTTCATGTCCTTCTCACCCTCCCTCTACCCTGCTCTCATCGTAAGCACCGCAAAAGGGTCTATCCGCTGGGGCACGGAACACATATATCCCAGACACCGTTGCGTTACGACCAAAAAACGCAACGGACACAGTTTGGCCATTTTCTGCCTCCGGGGGCGCTAGCTGGGCTGGGGCCCTCAGAAACGATCCAGGATGAAAAGCCTGTCCCGGGACAATGGTTGAAACCTCCAGGCTCCACGTTGTGACAAAACACACCGCGGGAGGTCTGGGACAGGTCAAGGAAAGGCTACAAAATTGAAACCTTGAAGATTTCTGCAGAATCTTGAGCATACGCTTGGCCAGTCCTGCCATCACGACAACCTGGGCCACCTCCCAGACAAGCTACCTAAAAACTGCTGCGCGAAGGCGGAGGTGGGAGGTGTCTTGGTCGTTGGGCGTACCTGCGCAAGTGCTCATCACTCAAAGCCTGGGTCGGGGAGACGTTAGATTCGAGCTCTGGGAACTCGCATTCGACTGACGGGGTCACTAGAAAAATGTTGGGACTGAATCCGAAAAGTCTAGAAATCCCGATGCAAACATCTCACGAAGACTGGACCGTCAAAACTCCTGCCGCGGCCGTCAATCGGAGGAGGGCAGTTGAGACAACGGCGGCCTTCCCGCCCGGATGAGGAGGATGAGAAGGAGGAGGAGAAGGAGGAGGAGGAGGAGGAGGAGGAGGAGGAGGAGGAGGACGAGGATGAGAAAGAGGAGGCGGAGGAGGAGGAGGAAGAGGCGAAAGGAGGAGGAGGAGAAGGAGGAGGCTAAAGGAGGAGGAGGAGGAGGAGGAAGATGTGGTTGCTGAGCCCCTGTCAGCCTCTCCTCCTCCTACGCCTCTCTCTGTACTCCCTTGAGCGCCGCCATGTCGGCTCACAAGGGCCCTTGAGCTATCATGGCGAGCCGGTGACGGACGCGCCCACGCCTCCGTAAAAGGAAAGAGAGCGTGCTCTTTTCTAGCACGGGTCCCCCTGTTTCTCGTGTCTCTCTGTATCCATACCCCGTCACTCCCGTGCAATCCAGAGAGAAGGAGGAGGAGGAGGAGGAGGAGAAGAAGGAGGAGGTAGGAAAAGGATGGAGGAGGAGGAGGAGGAGGAGGAGGAGAAGGAGGAGAAGGAGGAGGAGGAGGAAGCTAAAGGAAAAGGAGGAGAAGGAGCAGGAGGAGGAGGAACACGGAGGAAAAGGATGGAGGAGGAGGACTAGGAGGAGGAGGAGGAGGAGAAGGAGGAGGAGGAGGAGGCTAAAGGAGCAGGAGGAGGAGGGAGGAAAAGAATTGAGGAGGCCCTCCCGTGGGTCCATCCCATCTCGACGCGGATCCAGCCTTTGCGACGAGAAGCCTCCAGGAAACCAAGAACGAACGACATACGCCACAGAGGACCGCCGTTGTCTGGACTGGCCCTCCTCCGAATGCCAAGAACGTCGAAAAACCGAGGCAAGCACGAATGCGGTATCTTACGTTCATCCTCGAATCTCCTCCTCCTACTTCTCCTTCTCTTCCTAAGCCTCCTCCTCCTCCTCGTCCTCCTCCTCGTCATCATCATCATCAGCATCAGCATCAGCATCATCACCATCATCATCGTCATCATCATAAGCATCAGCACCAGCATCATCATCACCACCATCATCTTCATAATCATCATCATCATCATCAGCATCATCATCATCATCATCATAATCAGTATCATCATCATCATCATCATCATCATCATCATCATCATCATCATCATCATCATCATCATCATCGTCGTAATCAGCATCATCATCATCGTCACAATCATCATTATCAACCTCAGCATCATCATAGATACACCATCATGAGCAGCATCATCCTCATCACCATCATACGCATCATCGCCATTATCATCCTCATCGTCATCATCAACACCATGATCATCAGCACCATCACCATCATCATCAACACCATCACCATCAGCCTCACCATCATCATTTGCATCGTCATCATCATCAGCATCCTCATCATCAGCATCATCATCAGTATTGTCAGTATCTGCATCACCATCATCACAATCACAGCATAATCAGCATCCTCATCATCATCAACACCATCAACATCAGCATCACCATCATCATCACCTTCATCATCATCGTCATCAGCATCAGCATTGTCAGCATCATCGTCTTCATCATCATCGACAACATCTGCATCACCGTAATCATAATAACAGCAGAATCAGCATCACCTCCAGCATCAGCATCATCATCAGCATCATCATCAGCATCGTCACCATCATCATCATCATCATCATCATCATCAGCACCACCACCACCATCATCAGCACCATCACCATCAGCATCATCCGAAACATAATCATCAGCAGCACCAGCATCACCACCATCATCATCATCATCATCATCATCATCATCATCATCATCATCATCATCGTCGTCATCACCACTATCATCATCATCATCATCACCATCATGGTCATCAGTATCATCATGATCATCATCACCATCATCAGCAGCAGCATCGGCATCAGCATCAGCATCATCAGCAGCAGCAGCATCAGCAGCAGCACCAGCCTCATCGTCGCCTTCCTCGTCCTATGTATGCGTCCCCTCCTCCACCTCCTCCTCCTCGTCGATCCTCGATCCTCGATCCTCCTCCTCATACACCTCCCACCTCTCCTCATCCTCGTTCTCCTGCTCTTCATCCTCCTCCGCCTCCTACTCCTCCTCTTCCTCCTCCTCCGCCTCGTCCTCCTCCGCCTCCTTCTCCTCCTCTTCCTCTGCCTCCTCCGCCTTCTCCTCCTCCTCTCGATCCTCGATCCTAGTACACCTCCCCCCCTCATCCTCCTCGTCCTTCTCCTCCGCCTCCTCCTCCTCCGCCTCCTTCTCCTCCTCTTCCTCCGCATCCTCCGCCTCCTCCTTCTCCGCCTCCTCCTCCGCCTCCTCCTCCTCCTCCTCCTCCTCCTCTCGTCGCGGCCTACCCGGGAGTCCTCCTGAGGCCAGCCAGGACCACCTCCACGGGCGGTATTTGCTTGCCACGGCCTCCCTCTCCACCCCTCCTCCGTCTACCGCTCATCCTATTCCTTCTCCTGCTCTTCCTCCTCCTCCTCATCATCCTCCTTCTCCTCCTCCTCTTCTTCTTCATCATCATCATCATCAGCATCATCAGCATCATCAGCATCATCATCATCCTCTTCCTCTTACTCCTCGGCCCGTCTTTCTCCAGGCCCATCCGCTCTCGCTCAAAATCAACCCTTGGACCCCTCCCAAACAACGTCCTGATCGGCCATACGAGCTGCGCCCAGCCGTGACCACGTGCGCCCACCCAAAGGAGAACACAAGCATGGAAACAAAGCATACAAACGTCTCCCTCCTCATTCCCTGAGAACCGATTCCGCGGACAATAGGCGAATGAAGCATCACAACCAGAGCCGTCCTCGACACCATCCTTCTGCGGCAATTCTCCAGCTGAAGAGGCCCTGAAGGTCCCAGGGGCCAGGATCGTGCACAATTCCTGGTGTGAAAAAACGAGGCGCCTGGACCTCGGCTCCCTGACTCAGACATCTGGCACTTGGACTTCTCCGATGCGTGCACCCCCCGGACCACTCGCCCCCCTGCCCCAGGGGCTCGAAGCCAGCTCCCAGGAACCAAAAGTGTGCACACAGCAGCCGCTTCGCTTTTTTTCTATCGAGACATCGGAGGTCTGGAAACCATCTCACCGTCGGACCTTCCCCTATCCCCCACCAGTCGAGCGCTGCTTCATGGGGGAGCAACAAGAGGGGGGCGGTGAAGGAAGGCTCAGGAGGGACGAAAGGGCAGGATAGCGAAAGGCAGGGTGGAGAGCCAGCTCAAGCAGCTGGCTTTCCTGGCGCTGGCAGGCGCCCAGGAATCGAGGAATGGGCCCAGCGGCGGGCGGAAACCGGCTGCATGCAGCAAAGTTCGTACCCCCTCCTTCCTTATCTTACCCTTTCGTCTGGCCCGATCCTCGCGGGGAGCCCACTTCGGGGGATGGGGGCGAGCAGCATCTTCAGAGCGGGTCAGGCACGGCATAACAAAACAGGCTGCCGCTCCATCGGTCGGGGGGTGGGCCTGAGAGTATAGGCACGTCTCCTTTCAAACTGCGCGTTCCTCCGGCGCTTGTTGTGTGAAAAACCTTCGGGGCCCCGGGGGGGCCCCGTCAGGGCTCCTCTGGGGCCCCTCTTCTGCGACCCTCGACCCCCAGGCCCAAGCCCCCGCCACCAAAGCCAGGACGAGGCGCCCGAGCCCAAGACCCGCGCGTCCTTCTCCGGGCCGCCAGCGGACACGACGGCGAGACGCCGCTGCAGCTCGCCGCAGAGGGCCGTGTTGACCTCCACCCGCTGCCTGTAGGCCGCGTCCTCCTGCCAACCGGGCGCAAGGAGTGGCCTGCAGGCAGGGAGGGGCCTCTGGTGACCGGTGGAGAGGACGACGACCACGACGAAGGCTGAACGCGGAAACGTCGGTGTCGGTCCAGGCCATCGCTCATCTTGGACAGGGTGAGTTCGTGGATCGTCGTCGCGGCTCGGCGACGGACAGCATGGAGCGTGACCTGGTGCGCGCTTCTCCAAGCAGCGGCCAGCAAGTCCAAGAGCGCAGGCCGGTGCTGGGGGGCACCCCTGTGGCCCCGAACCCAAGGTCGCTCTCGGGCAACCACGGGCAGCAAACCCAAGGTCGCTCTCGCGCTTTCGCGGTCCCGATCCCGGGGCGCGACACTGCGGATACGCGGTCGCATGCGCAAGTTCCGACGCGAGGCTTCAGGGGAACATCACCCCGTATCCGTGGGGCCGCGGCGGGGGGGGGGGGCGGGCCCGCGAGGCCGCGACTTCGGCCATGTGTTTTCGCCCACAAACGGCCGCTTCCGTAACGAGCCCCTCGCCTCCCCCCGACAAGCCGTGGGCAACTGGCCCGAGGGGTGCCCCGAGGGTGGGCAGGAGGCGTCGGCCTGCCGAGGGGGCCACTCTGAAGCGCACCCTCCCGGCCAGCACGCCCCCCCGTGGCGGCCGGAGACAGCGGCCGTGTCCGCGTCGACGTCGTCGCCGTCGTCACCTTCGCGGTTGCCGCCACCATCGTCGACGTCGTCGTCGCCTTCGTCGTCGTCGTCGCAGCCGATCCTTCACCTTCGTCCTCAGCACGGGGGTGACGTACGGCTCCTCTAGACGAAGAAGCATGTGCACAAGCGAAAACTTTCCGAGCTCTCCGCGCGGACTTCTTGGATCGGCGCTGCACTCCCTCCCTGGCGCGCGGGACGCGTCAGGGGAGGCGCTGGAGAAGAAGTCTGCGCGGAACTCCGAAAGATTGTGCTTGTCCTGTTGTTTCTTCTTCGATCCTCCTCCGCCGCGCCCTTCGAGTACCTCAAGGGACAACGTTCGAGGGGGATAGGCTCAGGGGGGATGCACCAGCCCCCAATCAACCATTGATTGCTGATAGGGGCCCGATAGCCCACTCCGCCCATGAGCGTCCAGCTTCGCCATCGGTCGCATATCGCTGGTCTATCGGTGATGTTTCGCCGACTCCAGATCGATGTTCCACCCCAGACCCCCCACGTCATGATTTGTTCACGATGTCGGCCCAAAAGTCTCGACTTATTCCCTGGGACAAATTTGTCATCCGAGTCGTTTTCTGACGGTCCCGTGGCCCGGCGAGGGCCCCCAGATGCCGAACATATAAAATACCCTGGCGAAGGACACAACCATATGCAGCTGTGAATACCGCTGCAACTTTCGCCTTCGGTGGAGTCCCTATGAGGCCACGAAGCGCGAGAGGGGGGACCCAAAGCGCCCGCACCCGCCGAGACCGTAGGTGGAGCTCCCTATGGGGCCACGGAACGTATGAGGGGTGCGGCGGAGGGACCCCAGGCGTCCGCGCCCACTGAGACCGTAGGTGGAGCTCCCTGTGGGGCCACAGAACGTGTGAGGGGTGGGGCGGGAGGACCCCAGGCATCCGCGCCCACTGAGACCGTAGATGGAGCTCCCTGTCGGGCCATGTAAAAGTTTGGGGGGCGTGTGCAGAAGCAAAGACATGCGGAGGGCAGAGGCAGAGAGAAGGGAGGAGGAAGGGAGGGGGCAGCGGGAGTTGGGAAGAACGCGGGGCGCTTGCGGATTCAAAACGAGAGCCCATCTCAACATAGAAAGATGGGGAAAACAACTTCCGTCGTGTTTGCTCAGCGACGCGAGGGGGTCTGGGCCCTGAGCCGGTCCCCCCCTCAGCGTTCCCCCCATCCAGCGGTCCCCCCTCGAAGTCGAGGAGGAACGATGACGATGTTCGCAAAGGTTCGAGGAAAGACGGCAACGAGGATGACCAGAGAGGATGAGGCCGAGAAAGACCATGCCGTGAGGAGGGGAAGAGAAGAAGAGAAGACGCAACAAGTGTTCGCGATGTACATATTTGTTTACATTTTTCCCCAGCCATCCTGTGGTGTTGGGTCCTCGTTTTGAAAAGACAGCGCCCAACGTCTCACTCCTCACTCCTCCTCCTCCTCGCCCTCATCCTTCCTCCCATCCCTGCCTCTGCTCTTCGCATGCCATCATCATCATCATCATCATCATCATCATCAGCATCATCATCATCATCATCAGCAGCATCATCATCAGCATCATCATCATCACCATCACCATCACCATAAGCATCATCATCATCAGCATCATCATTACCATCATCGTGATCATCATCATCATCATCATCATCATCATCATCAGCATCATCATCGTCATCGGCACCAGCAGCAGCAACAGTAGCACCATCCTCATCCTGACCCTCACCCTTATCATCATCATCATCATCAGCAGCATCATCAGCATCATCATCATCAGCATCATCAGCATCATCACCGCGATCCTCATCATAATCATAAGCATAATCATCATCAGCAGCATCACCATCACCATCACCATCATCAGCAGCCTCACCATCATCAGCATCATCAGCAATAACTCCATCATCATCATCATCATCATCATCCTCATTACATCATCATCATCATCATCATCAGCATCATCACCATCACCATCACCATTACCATCAGCGCCAGCATCATAATCATCATCATCAGCAGCATCATCATCAGCAGCATCAGCATCATGATCTTCATCATCATCATCATCATCATCATCGTCAGCATCATCGTCGTCGTGATCGCCATCGTCGTCGTCGTCGTCGTCGTCACCCCCGTTTCGGCGCACCGCTTACACGTTTCGTGGCCCCATCGGGAGCTCCACCAACGGCCCCAGTGGCACCGTTCGCATGTAGGCGTCGCCCCCTTTTCGGCACAACCCATCAGACGCTTCGTAACCCCATAGGGAGCTCCAGCTAAGGCCCCAATGGCACCGTTCGCATGTGGGCATCACCCCCGCTTCGGCATACCCCTAACACGATCCGTGGCCCCATAGGGAGCCCCACCAACGGCCACAATGGCACCGTTCGCGTGTGGGCGTCACCTCCTCTTCGGCACACTCCTCACACGTTTCGTGGCCCCGAAGGGAGCTCCTTGCGAAGGCCCCAATGGCACCGTTCGCATGTGGTTGTCAACCCCGTTTCTGCACACCCCTCACACGCTTCGTGGCCCCCATAATTAGGGAACTCCACCTACGGCCCAAGTGGCACCGTTCGCGTGTGGGCGGCGCTCCCTTTTCGGCGCACCCTTCACACGCTTCGTGGCCCCATAGGGAGCTCCATCTAAGGCCCAAGTCGCACCGTTCGCATGGCGTCACACCCCTTTCGATACACCCCTCACACGCTCCGTGGCCCCATATCTAGCTCCACCAACGGCCCCAGGCCCCAGTGGCACCGTTCGCATGTGGGCGTCACCCCCGCTTCGGCGCAGTTTCATACGCTTCGTGGCTCCATAGGGAGCCCCAGCTAAGGCCCCAGTGGCACCGTTGGCATGTGGGCGTCATTCCCGTTTCTGCACATTCCTCACATGTGTTGTGGCCCCAGTTGGAGATCCAGTTAACGCCCCAGTGGCACCGTTCGCATGTGGGCGACACCTCCATTTCGGCACACCCCTCACACAGTTTCTGGCCCCATAGGGAACTCCGCCTAAGGCCTAGTGGCGCAGCCCGCATGTTGTTTTGCACGTCAGTTTTCTTTGCTTGCCGTTCTAGTTCCAGCTTTGCATGTCGCGTGCGAGGCGAGAGCGGTTTGGGGAGGCCTGAAGCCCACGGCGCCGACGACCATGATCAGAATTACAAGTGCTTTTGCAGTGCAATTGTTGTTTGCCTTGTAGTATTTGTTGCATTGCAGCTTTGCCGTTGTAGCTTGGGCCCCGACATGTCCGTTCGGGTTCCCCGTCTGGGCCCCCTCTTGGGGCCGTCCTGGGGCCATCTTGGGCCGTCTTGGAGGCCTCTTGGGCCGTCTTGAGGCCCTCTTGGACCGTCTTGGGGCCCTCTTGAAGGTCTATTCGGCCGTCTTGGGGCGATATGTCGGGCCTCTTTGGCCGTCTTTCAGCGTCGGGAAGCCGAACCGGTGAGAACGCCGAAATTCTTCAAACACCAAAAGTAGGACGAGAAGAATCTATTGACACAACGTGCTATGGATACGTTCCGGAGATTCCAGGATTTCTAACAACCTTCGCGCTGGGTACACTTTGCGTCGAGAATTGTCTATTTTGGCTGGCGCCGCTGGTCGGTCACCCATTCGCAATCGAGTGGTCGCCCGTAAAGGACTACTTGGCATTTGCTGACCCCCTTCTCGTTGCCGAGCGCGGGGGGGACGGCGGTGCACCGTCCAATCGCCCGCCGCCGCGCACCGCGCGCCTCGGCGGATTTCCAAAAGCTGGGCAAGGCAAATTACGCGCGACTCTGGAAAATAATCCGGGGGTAAAGTTGAACAAATCCGGGAACGTTTTTGAACATGTCCATGCCTTTTTTGAAAAATACCAAAGACGTTTTTGAAACTTTCCGGGATCAATTTTGAAAAATTCCGGAATCCATTTTGAAAAATTCTGGATTTCAGAATTATTCGGATGTCCTGCGCGGCGGGCGCATTCCACCCCTATTTCCGGGCTCCTTTTTGAAAAATTACGGAACCGCTTGCGCAAAAAAAACCGGAAGCGTTTTCTGATACATTCTACAATCCAGAAGTAATGTCCGGGCGGTCCGACGGGCGCGGCCGGCTGATTCACGCGCCGCGCCGCGCGCGATTGGGCGCGCCGCGCGTTGTGCCCGCGAACAGTACTCGGAGAGGCTACCTCGAAAACAGCGCGACGGCAGCTGCGACTCGCGGACTCCCCAAGAGCAACAGAGCATGCAGCTTGGAATCTTCGAGGGCGCTCCGATGCGCGAAAAATGCACCGCGAACATCACGCAAAGAACTTGCGCGACGGAGTGCGCGCGACCATTCGTCCCTGGAGCCCGCGCGGAAGAACAGGAAAACCTGGAAACCTGGAAAACTATCAATATCAATACTTCATGCTCCTCTGAAAAAGGAAGTCTAATTATGAATTTTACCTCCTTGGGCCCTCTTGAGAACTCCTCCTGGAGACCTCTTTGGGTGTCTTGGAGGCGTCTGCGGCAGTCTGGAGGCTATCTCGGGCGTCTTGGACCGATCGATCGGCGACTCGGAGCCCTCTTGGACCTCTTGGACCATCTTAGGGGCCTCCTGAGGCCGTCTTGGAGCGCTCTGGGGCTCCAGAAAACTGCCCCAGGGAGTTCCGGCATCCTTGGGCGGACCTTGCCGGGACCTTGCCGGGGTACTTCTCGTCCGGGGACTTCCAGGGGCCGGCCCGAGTGGTCCCAGCTGGCCTCAAAAAGCACCCCGACGTGGTCCAGGCTGGCCTCAGCAGGCTCTCCGAGTGATCCCAGCTGGCCTCAACAAGCCCCCCCGAGTAGCCCGTGGCCGTCGCAACTCCTCACCCCTGGGGCGCGGAGTTCCCCATGGGCGCCGCTGGAAGCGGCCCCCTCCCCCCTCCACCCTCGGGCGCCATGCGCTCGAGACGCCCCCGCCCGCTGGCCCGGCGGCGCGGCGCTCGGAGCGGGGCAGCGCCGGCAGCGCCTCCTCGGCCGGGGCGTCGCCAGTGGCCTCCAGCTTAACGAGCGCGACGCCCTCGCTCACCTCAAGGGAACCCAGACCCCCTCGAGTCGGGAGAACATCACGACGGGAGGTTCTTGGGCTATTTTCGGGCTCAGGGTCTCTGGGCCGCCAGAAAACGGCTCAGGATGAGACACAGGTTCTAGGGAATGGGTCGAGACCTCTGGGGTCGACGTTGTGAAACCAACAAAACCTGACGTCGGGGGTCTGGGGAGGAAGCAACTGCACAGACGTAGACTTTCAGAGGTCCGCGTGGATTGCTCGGATCGGCGCTTGAACGAAGACGGAGCCAGGACGAAGACAGACTCGGACAGGGGGAAATCGGGGACCTCGCAGTTCTGGAAGATGTATCGGGCGCCGCGGTCCCCGTCAGAGCGATCTGGAACGCAACGCTCTGAGAGCGTTCAGAAACGCTCTGGAACGACTCCTCCCTGGCCTGGCCCCACCCGAGGAACCCAACCACAGAAGCGCGCGCAGCGTGCCAGGGGCAGCGCCAGAAGCGCCGCCAAAAGGCCCCAGAGCCGATCCGACAAATCCGCGCGCAGCTCAGACATGATCTGCTTACGCCGTTACACGTCGGTCGGAAAAAATGCGTAAACACAAGGCGGTTTGAGCAGATTGGGCCCAGGCCCTCCCAGAGAAAAACAACACACAGCAAAAGCACACCGATTCTTGAAGTAGGAAGGCGCTTGCAGTAGATTGGGATCTGGGGATCCAATAACACCTGCACGTCCTTCTGGACCAGCACCTCAAGCACCTCTCAGCGGCGCGCAAGCGGAGGTTGGGGGGGGGCGCGAGGGGGGGCGGCCTTCTGTACAGTCCTCGTGCTGCCGTGAGCGGACTCAGGATAAGGGAGCGAAAGAGCTCTTCTGGCCACGGCGAGCCTCAGCAACGCAGAGCTCCCCCGACCTGGACCTGAGCGACAACAAGAAACGAGTCTTACACGAGATGGCATGGCGGTCTTACGCGGCGGCTTACGCGGGCCGCCAGCGCGGCACGCTACATTAGAGACGAGGGCGCGTACGCACGACCTGACGCGGGCAGCTTGAAAGCCAATGTCGGCGCAATCGACCCCATTGTTCTGCGTCGCTCATCTGCGGAACGGCCAATGAGCCCAAAATTCTGGGAGACGCAAGACTCGGACTCGGGACTGAGGCTGGCCTGTCGGGGCCATCATGAAAATGACGAAACCCAATCTGAAATTTGACGCGAACTCCCGCTGCAGACATCCCACGAAAACTGGACCGTCAAAACAACCAAAACGCGCTCGTCAAAAGGCGTCGGCCAACCCGAGTTCCAGCAACTCAAATCTTTCTGCGTCGCTCCATCTGAGGGGCTGCCAATGAGCCCAGAGGGGGGCCGCCGTCTCGGAAGGGCCCTGGGGAGCTTCTCGGAGAGGGCCCCCCTCGGAAACCGGGGGCCAGAAGACGCCCCCCCTGCTCTTCCTCACCCTGCTCCCCCTCCTCCTCCTCCTCCTCCTCCTCCTCCCTCCTCCTCCTCTCCTCCTCCGCCTCCTCCTCCTCCTCCTCCTCCTCTCTTCCTCCCTCCCTCCTCCTCCTCCTCTCCATCCTCCTCCACCTCCTCCTCCTCCGCCTCCTCCACCTCCTCCTCCTCCTCCTCCCACCTCCTCCGCCTCCGCCTCAGCATCCTTTCCCCCCTCCTCCTCCTCCTCCTCCTCCTCCCTCTTCCTCCTCCTCCTCCTCCTCCTCCTCCTTCTTCCTCCTCCTCCTCCTCATCATCATCATCACCACCACCACCACCATCAGCATCATCATCATCATCATCATCAGCAGCATCATCATCATCATCATCATCATCATCATCATCAGCAGCAGCAGCATCATCATCATCACCATCATCATCATAATCCTCCTCCTCCTCTTCCTCTACCTCCTAAAGCCCCTCCACCTCATCCTCTTCCTCCCCATGATTGTCCTCCTTCTCCTCCTACTCCACCTTCTCCAGCTCCTCCGTCTGAGCCGCCTCCTCCTCCTCCTCCTCCTCATTCTCTTTCTCCTCCTCTTCCTCCTCCTGCTCTTTCTCCTCCTCTTCCTCCTCCTCTTCCTCCTCCTCCTCCTCCTCCTCCTTCTTCCTCCTCCTCCTCATCCTCGTCCCTCATCCTCCTCTCCTCTCCTCACCTCCTCCTACCTCCTCCCTCCTCCTCCTCCTCCCCTCCTCCTCCTCCTCCTCCTCCTCGCTCCTCGCTCTCCTCCTCCTCCTCCCTCCTCCTCCTCCTGCTCCTCGATCCTCTCCTCCTCCGACCTCCTCCTCCTCCTACTCTCTGCTCCTCCTCTCCCCTCCTCTTCCTCTCCTTCTCCTCTTCCTTCTCCTCCTCCTCCGCCTTATCCTCGTCCTCCTCCTCCTCCTCTTCCTCATCCTCCTCTCTCCTCTCCTTCTTCTCCTCCTCCTCCTCCTCCTCATCCTCCTCAGCATCATCATCATCATCATCAGCATCAGCATCATCATCAGCGGCATCAGCATCATCACCATAAGCATCATCATCATCAGCAGCAGCATCATCATCAGCAGCAGCAGCATCATCAACATCATCATCAGTATCATCATCATCATCATCATCATCATCATCATCATCATCATCATCAGCAGCAGCAGCAGCAGCAGCAGCAGCAGCAGCATCAGCATCAGCATCAGCATCATCATCATCATCATCAGCAGCAGCAGCATCATCATCAGCAGCATCATCAGCATCACCATCATCACCAGCATCAGGATCGTCATCAGTCTCATCCTCCTTCTCCGCCTCGCTCCTCTATCATCCTCCTCTCTTATCTCTCCTCTCTCTCTCTCTCTTCTCTCTCTCTCTCTCTCTCTTCATGTCCAGCATCCTCTGACCACAGCTCTCCTTCCTCTCCACCTCCTCCTCCTCCTCCTCCTCCTCCTGCTCTCTCCTCCTCCTCTCTCCTCTCTCCTCTCTCGTCTGTCCTCTCTCCTCTCTCCTCCTCCCCCTCCTCCTCCTCATACTCTTGTTCCTCCTTCTCCTCCTTCTCATCCTCCTCCTCCGCATCCTCCTCCGCCTCGTCCGCATCCTCCTCCTCGTCCTCGTCCTC